TGATAATGGGGTCAACATCCTAACACAGAATCACTTAACTTAAATGAATTCTTTTTTTATTTATTACTAGGATCTGTCCTGCTTTGAATTTTACAATATAAAGCAGATGAAATTTAAGATTTGTCAGGTTAGGCAAGTTATTAATGAAAGGGACTCCACTGTGGTCCATAACATTTGGAATTCTAACATAAGATCTATTGGTGCATATGAAATGAAAAATTATACAACAGATAAAACAGAAATATGCTCAGTATGAAATTGAAAATCAATTTTTATCAATTCTCAGGAACAATTTGAGTTTTAAGTGTTTAAATGCTTTCCAGATACCGTATAAGTACTTTAATTTCTGCGGGCTTAATATTCTGCGATTTTTATTAAAATAAGGGGTTTTAAATTTCTGCGTATCTTATTTCTGCGGTGTCATCATTCTCGCATTTATGTTTTTTATTTCTGCGTTTTAATTTAGATATTTTTACAAAATTAACCCATACAAATAGACAACATTTCAAGATTTGTTGATGTAACATGTACATTACTTCCGGTAACCATGCAGATGACTTATAATGTGTTTCATCATAATCATCATGTATCGGTATATAAACGTTAATAAACAAAAATCAACAACGTGCGTTTATTAATGACAACAATTAACTGTAATACTGCATGTGTATAAATATGTAGTGTGAAAAATAAACAATGGTAAAATTGCACGTAAACACAAGATATTGTGTACAAATACAAAAGGGTATGTTTATTGCACCCGTCACACTATAAAAGTTTTATTTTACAAAAAAAACAAAAAAACTTAGGGTGAGCGAAAATCATACAAACATGATATTTATTTAAACAGAAAGAACAAGTAAAGTAACTTTTTTTCTAATATATTATTCATGACAGATACATAAAGAAACATATCTATAAAAGCCGATAACTCTACAGGGTAATGTAATTATACAGTACCGGTAGTTGACATATTCCGACATAGACATATGGAAAGGCTTAATTTTCTGCGGTTTTTAAATCTGCGGTGTCGTTACGAACCGCAGAAATAGCAGAAATAAAGTTCCCGCAGAAAAAAGTACTTATACGGTCATTTTGAGCAATAAAAATTATTATTCAGGAAATTGTCTGAACCAACATGGTATAGTACACAAATCTTGAAGAAATAAATTCTTGTCTACCAGTTACACAAGCCCATGTATTAATATTATGAACTGTGTAATCTGATCCTAACCAGAATATATTTTTCCCTCCTTTTTTGACAATGTTCAACATCTGAATAATTTTTGAATTTCACTGATAATTTAAGCATTCTTTGTTTCTTGCTTCTTCCATGACAAATATTCCCATGCATTATAGCTGGTAAAAGGGTGTTTTCTTTTTGACTATTTAACCAAAAGAAGTTAAAGTAGATTACAAACAGGTAAATTATCTGGTGCTCATAGTCACTCTTGTGAAGACTCTACCAGTTAGCTTGGAAGAATTTGAGGTTGAATCGAGAAAAGAATGTTGGCTATTTTGTTTCTAGAAAATGTACCTCTTGACCAGGTTTTTACTGTAAAAGTGCACCTATATATAGTCTGATTTTATAGACCTGTCAATTATGAATACATTATAGCACTCATTTAAATATTCAATACCACTGTAGTTTACGAGAATAGTTATGGAGTAATTATATAACTAATGTTTTGAAAAGTCACACCAGCTTAATATATAGGTTGTCGTCACATCCACAAAAGCACTATAGGTTAAGTGATTGCCTAATATGTGAGAAGTCTATGGTTGGATCCCTTACTGTTGCCGTTGTTTTAGACTAACATGTTCCCTTTCTTTATTTTTGCAGTATAGTTTAATGGAAATGGCCGAGTGCTTGCAATATTGTCTACACGGATATGAAGCAACTTAGAAACACTGTTTTGTCTCGATTTGTATTTTGTTTTATGGCATTGAAATGAAATTTATTGATATTGTAACTTGAATATATTTTGAATATATTAATTCTTAATCTATGTTATCTAAAAAGAGTATAGATTTTAACAAAATAAGTGCAAAACATATTAAAAACAAAACAAACAAATTTGACTTAAACTTTATAGAAAATAAAGTTCTAATTACCTCCCTTTATTAACATGAAATGTAAATTGGTTATATCTTTACATATAATTCTTTTTGGAATTTACAATATTGATAAATCTTCATTTGAGCATTATATTTATGATATAAAACCATAAAAAAATTGAGTTACATGATCTTTAAAAACAATCATAGCTTCAATAATGTTGTAAATAAAAATAAGAAAATTCATGGACCTAACCTTTCTGTATCTAATTACAACATGTGGGACATATAGACATTTACCCTATTGGCTAAAATGCTGAGCACACAAATTAAATTAAATTGCATCTTACTGTGTAGATCTGGTGGACCTTACTGAAAATCTATCGGAGATTAATATGTTGTCTGTATTGACTGAATAATCAGTATGCAATTGACAGGTTAAAAAATCAAACAGTAATAGTAATCAAAAATGTAATTGTACAAATTTCTTGATCACATAGAATAATTTTGACCTAACATCACTTTTTAATTTGAATGACATTACTGTCTAATTTGGCTGACTTACTGTTGTTAGTGTATGATTATGATTATGAATAACTTGATGTAAGCTTTCAGAATTATTTTATGTCTCCTGTCAGTCTTTTATCTTAATTTACTGACAGAATTTTCTCTCCCAGACAAAATTACATTTGACCAAACCTTCATACACATATTATTCCTTAGATGACCGTCTTTTAAATTTCTTGAAATACTACAAGTCTGATTGTCATAGCAACCAAAAGGAAACACTTACAAAATCCACTTTTCAAAATTGCTGGACAGATTTCTGGGAAAGGATTCTAAACAAAATTTGATGACATTATTTTGATCTGTCAATAAAAATATGTTCCTCATATAGATTGATTTTTATCCAAACCTTAAAATATTCTTCATGAAGAAGACGGAACACAAAGGATATAATAAATATATATCATTATAAGTGATGGAAAATAAGTTGATATAAGTTAGAAGTATTAACACAAAGAAGCTGTAAGAGAAAATAGCAGGGTTCATTTATATTAGGTTAATGCCAGTATTTGCCTGTTAATTTCCAGCAGAAGATACTGTGATCCTTTTGTCTAGTAAAAAATACATGCTGTAAATATGTCACCAACATTGTGATTTATTGCCTATTATTCACACAATTCCATCTGTGATTTTGTAATTAAAAGTTGTAATGAGTACATCAAGCTGATCTGTAGGACATCATTGAGGTTACAGGACAAGTTGAAGTTATTTAGAGATATGCCAAGGTTATAGGATGGGATATGAGTAAAGGGTATGTTGAGGTTTAATGTGACATGATGAGGTTAAATGTGGAGACATGATAAGGTTAAATGTGGAGACATGATGAGGTTATATTGGTTGAATATAAAAGACATGATGAACATGATGAAGTTAAATGTGGAGACATGATGAGGTTATATGTGAAGACATGATAAGGTTGAATATAAAAGACATGATGAACATGATGAAGTTAAATGGGAAGACATGATGAGGTTAGATGTGAAAACCCGATGAGACTATATCTGGAGGCATGCTGAGGTTAAATGTGAAGACCGTAATGAGGTTATAGGGCATATTAATGGTCCTGCATGCTTTAATTTAGGCTGTTACCACATTTTAGTGAAATTTTATATATGTATATGATTATGCTTCTAAAACAATTTTCGAACATCAAAGACTATGTAAAATATGTACTGCAAATATTTGTCCACATTATATGTAATCATTAAAATATATGCATTCAATTCTTATTGAAAAAATTGACTTAGACTTTAAAGAAAATAAATTTCTAATTACCTCCCTTTATTAACATGAAATGTAAATTTGGTAATATCTTTACAAATAATGCTTTTTGGAACTTACAATATTGATAAATCTTCATTTGAGCACTATATATATGATATAAGACCATAACAAAATTGCGTTGCAGGATCTTTAAGGCTTTAAGAAAACACATGAGAAAACTTTTGGTAGTTACATGTTATATTGGGATGCTACCAACAGTAAACAGTAACCCTTGTAACTTCCTTACAACCTACCCGATCATTTATCAATCAACAGTGCAGTCAGTTTACATATAAATGTCAATAGTATGTAAATATGGACTTACCATATAGAGGGTTGTTTTGTTAGGAATTATATTCAATGTATTGTAATATATTAAATGTATTGTTATATTAATGAACGGAGCTTTCATTTTAAGTTATCTATTTTGCTATGTTTTGTTTTCTATGCAAAACTTTGATTTGATTTTTGTCAACAATTTTCAACAATTAATTTCATGCTAGTTCACTTATAACATTCCTACAAGTAACCTTTATTTCATTCTTCCCTTCCTGACCAGTTTTCTGTCCAGTTGGCCTGTATTAATTATGCTGCATTGTTTGCTCTTACATATTATCTCAAAGTCTGACATACGAAGGTTCTTTATTCTTGATCTCAAGCTTTGACTGTTAATTATAAAACCTATGTCACATGTATAGACCTTAAAAGGACAGCTGGTTTATTATTGAACACCATCAAAGTTTTAAACAAGTGTTCAAGTATTTTTTACACCAGTTCAGCTGTTTAAGCATAAACTTCTGTTACCAAGTGGTCAGTCTAAAACAATCATGAAAGTTTATGGTGTCACACACACTGTTGACACTTTATTTCTACACATACTAAACAAGAATCAATAGTTTGAGAGATTTGTTTGTTAGCGCTGAAGTTAGGTATATACTTGTTGTAAGCAGCTTGCTATATTATGCAAGCAGTGCCCTATTTAGCATTAAATACAAACAAATTTTGTTTCTGGCATTAAGCAGACTGTTTGGGGAGGCTAAAGACAAATTGGGATAGAAGATTATTGATAGTTATTTCCAACATTTGGCGGGGACTTTATAACGGGCTTTCTAACGGTATTGGAAATCAGTGTACACTTGGAATAGTGTTGCTGTAATAATTGGATAGAAAAAGTTTAGAACATTAATGTCATTGATTGTTGTCAGATTATTTTGGACTTGAAGATATGAATCTATCCAGTGATAAATGGTGTAAGTTATATCTTTTATATCTTATCCTCATATTGTTTTAAGATAGTATTAAAACTTCAAATGTTAATAAAGTGTGTATCTTTTTATACATTTATTTGTTATATTTATTTTCTTATCTATCATTTTCTTGGACACAAATAACATGGTACATTTACACATTTTAAAATTCTATATAGCGTGAAATAGTTTGCCAAAATGTTTCACTCTCTAATAACAATGATAAATGACTGTTGCTAATAAATTGTCAATGTAAATACAATGATTGCATTGCCCTACTTATTGTCCAGTAATTTTGGTTATATCCTAGCACTTGCCCCATCTTGGTGATTATCCTAGCACTTGCCCTGTCTTGGTGGTTATCCTAGCACTTGTCCCATCTTGGTGGTTATCCTAGCACTTGCCCTGTCTTGGTGGTTATCCTAGCACTTGCCTTGTCTTGGTGGTTATCCTAGCACGTGCCTTGTCTTGGTGGTTATCCTAGCACTTGTCCCATCTTGGTGGTTATCCTAGCACTTTCCCTGTATTGGTGGTTATCCTAGCACTTGCCCCATCTTGGTGATTATTCTAGCACTTGCCCCGTCTTGGATACTATCCTAGTACTTGCCCTGTCTTGGTGGTTATCCTATCATTTTCCCTGTATTGGTGATAATCCTAGCACTTGTCCATCTTGGTGATAATCCTAGCACTTGCCCTGTCTTGGTGGTTATCCTAGCACTTGCCCTGTCTTGGTGGTTATCCTAGCACTTGTCCTGTCTTGATGGCAATTATAGCACTTGCCCCATCTTGGTGATAATTCTAGCACTTGCCCCAACTTGGTGGTAGTCCTAGCCATTGTTTACCTGTTAATTATGTACAATGTTTAGAACAATCACATAAATTGGTATATAACATAAATTGGTATATAACATGAATTGGTATAAGATAAATGGTTATATAAGATAACTTCTTTTTAAAATGTTATCAAAAACTCCATTCTAAAGGATAATCTTGAAAAAAGTTAGGTCAAAGAACTCTTGATTTAAATTTTGTTCTCAGAAACATTGATGTCTTGATAAATATTGGTAATTTGTGGGCAGACTTCACATAAAATGCAATGTAATAAGATCATGACTTCAAAAGAATTTTTGCTTCAAGTGATCTGTTAATTATGTAAACACTGTTAAGCAAAGTGTCACACTACACAAGTGTCCACAATTATAAGATGCAGCACATTTACACAATTAAGCTTTAGATTTATTTATTTCAAAGAAATTTAAGTAGTTAACTGTTTTTTATGTCAGTCCCTGCTGAAGTTTTGTAATTGAGTTGCCAAGCTTTGAATTCGGATCAGTCCTTTTCAGGGATGTCAATATGAGAATACAAATATTGAGGTACCAACAGTATAGAGCTTAGTCAGGCTACACAGATGTGCAGGCTGGCCTTGCTCAAAGGCTGTTCACTTCCAGTTCCAGCAGATAAGGGTTAAAATATATAGCAAAGTCTCTAAGGCCATATATTACAGGACTGGTTCTATCTAAAGCCAGATATCTAACACCAGAAAAGACAGGTTCCATCTAGGGCCAGATATGACAGGTACTATCTAAAGCCAGATATGACAGGTTTTATCTAAGACCAGATATGACAGGTTGTATCTAAGACCAGATATGACAGGTTGTATCTAAGGCCAGATATGACAAGTTTATGTAAGGCCAGTTATGACAGGTTTTATCTAAGACCAGATAATTCAGGTTCTATTTAAAGACAGATATGACAGGTTTATCTAAAGCCAGAAAAGACAGGTTTAACTAAGGCCAGATATGAAAGGTTGTATCTAAGACCAGATATGACAGGTTTTATCTAACCAGATATGAGGGGTCCTATCTAAGGCCAGATATGACAATTCTATCTAAGGCCATATATTAGAGGTTGTATCTAAGACCAGATATGACAGGTTGTATCTAAGGCCAAATATGACAGGTTCTATCTAAGACCAGATATGACAGGTTGTATCTAAGACCAGATATGAGGGGTTCTATCTAAGGCCAGATATGACAGGTTTTATCTAAGGCCATATATTACAGGTTGTATCTAAGACCAGATACGACAGGTTTTATCTAAGGCCAGGTATCTAAGGCCAGATAAGACATGTTCTATCTAAGGCAAGGTATGTCAGGTTCTATTTAAGGCCAGATATGACAGGTTTTATCTAAGGCCAGGTATCTAAGGCCAGATAAGACGGGCTCTATCTAAGGCCAGGTTTGACAGGTTCTATGAATCAATCTCTTAAAGGACTCTTTGTTGATTTAACTAGAAGCTAGTTAGAATATTCTCTTGTTCGCCTGCCTACCTAATTCAGTTTTGGAGGGCATTGGACTTATAATCTAGGGTTCACTCAGGTTCGATCCTCAGGCTAGGTGTGAAATTTCTCGTACATTATGGTTATTTGTCTCTCACTGCTGACTTAGAAATCACGTGAGATTAGTTGTCAGACACTTGCAAGAAATTGGTAATTACTGGTAAGTAATCCAGGAAAACTGGTTTGGCGGATTAACCACAAGATCATGACCAAAAGAAAGTTAAAAATAGTGTAAAAAACCAGACAAACAAACAAAAACATTAAGAATATAGAGTATAGAATTACCACATATTTCATTCATGTATCATTTCTATAATGTTTTCATAAGACTTTTAAGTCTTCAACTATTCTAAGCATCTATTATTTTCCTCTTATTCTTTTACATTTTCAACTATCTCATTTACTTATATGTCTTCTGTGGCAGTGGTTTCTAAATTGTCTAAAGCTCAGAACTGTTACTTTTGTCTGTAATTTCAGCTTTCATAATTATATAAAATTATGTTAAAGTTGTCTTTAAACTTCATTCACTGTTAGTTAAAAGGTTCGTGTAACTGGGTTACATAAAAGCTAAGTCAGATAAATCAAATTCAAGAATGAAACAATCAAAGTGTTTAAAAACTTTTTTTCTGGTTACAGTTTGCACTTTAACACCACACTTGTCACCTTAATACAGCACATTTTTCTGTGACATCTAGACATCTATTATCATTTTGATATTTATTGATACTTATATCCACTAGTTGTCATATTGACCTTGGCAAATTATTCTTGTGGCATTAGTTTTGTTTGTTTATACAAATTTATTTTAGTTTGATTGTGTTGAAAGCTATAAGCTTAAATTGAAACACTCTTGAATAATTATGTTCCACAAACTAACCAGTACTAAATAGCAATGAGTGTAATGTTTCTTTGCTTAATGAAACAATGACTTGCTCCTAACGGGGTCTGAACCCACATGGCATTAAATTACTAGTGTGGCGTGTTAACAACTTGGCCACCCAACCCCACATGTGAGGCATTCATGTCACATGCTCAATTAACCCTTTTCCTCATGAGCATATTGTGAAAAATGGCCGTTTTCATTGAAAAGCCTCCTGTTACAAGTTCAAACTGCTATGAAACTATGAAAAATGCTTCAATACTAATCAAACTTGGCACAAATGTTGACTGGACCATTGCCTTTGTAACGACATGCTCAGTCTTAAATTTCCTGTTACCTAGCAATGAGGGGACATCTCAAAATTGCCAAAAATCACTGTTTTGCGTTGATTTTTTCCATCAAAATTGATTTCAAAGTGCTGCAACTTCTCAATGGATTGAGATAGAGTCAAAGGCTTTGCAGCGTTGGTTACACATTACCTTATGATTGACCTGGGATCATTTTTAGCCTCTCACAATTCCGAATTTTTTTTGGGCCCCTGATGTACCTTCTTGATAGGGGGCAGCGCCGAAAAAGTGATCACTTTTTTTAGCAACATTTCCAAAACGAAAAACAGTGTTTTTGGCCTAAATATGGTAATTTTTCACTTTTTGAGGTCTCAAAAAAAGGGGGGGGGGGGGGGGGGGGTCGAAAAAGCAGTAAAAACACATCTATATGAAGTCTTGAAAGCTTTTGAAGCTGTCAACATTGTAATCTGTACTTTATTACATAATATTGCCTGTTCTAGTGAACATATTTTTTTGTATTCTATATATTTCTGTTTTGAAATTGATTTAAGGGGTAAATTTGACCATGGGTAATGCATTACCTCCACTTTGAAGAGTATTCAAATAGGCTAGAATCGCTTGTAAACTACATTGAAATTGAAGGGCGTGGGTTCAAACCCCAGACGGGGCAACTTTTTTTTTCTTTCTTTTTTTCTTTTTAACATTTTTTATGTATCTCCTTGATCCCTTATGGAAGAAAAAAAGTTTGATTTAAATTATATAATTATTTTAGGTAATTTTTTTGCTAAATAATGCCAAAATTTATAGCAAATATGATACCAGATACAGTGTATTTTCAAAGTTTGATAAAATAAAAACTACACGGTAAAAGTATTTTATATTTCACATGATCAACTAAAATACCTTTGAAAAAATTTAGGCAAACTTTGAAAACAGACCCTCATTTCGATAAATTTTAGGGATAATTTGAATAAGGCATTTTAGATAGGGAAATGGTAAAATAAGTGTTAAAAGTGGGTGGGGTAGGGTAACATTTTTATACATATTAAGAACATTTTGTTTAGAAACAAACATTTTGCTTGTGTAATGTGTTACCTGAATGTTATTATTTGTTTCTTAACAATGAGCAATAGAAAAACATTTTTAATAATGATGATTTTACAGATTATTTACAGTTTCCTCATTTCTGAAAATAAGCCCTTCTAATGGCAAAGTCTTAGTTCAGAAATATATCCATAACTCATAAACCACACGGTAAATTTTATTTAAATTTTGCATATAGGTGACCTTGAAGACATATAACTGTCCTATGTTGTCAATTTTACAGTTCCTTATGGTGCCCATTACCCATGGTCTACCTTAAAATGGATTATTAACGGAATGAAAAATTTAGGCAGCTGACAATATAATTTGGTGACAGCTTGCACAAAACTGCCCTGCATATTATTTTGAAATTACATTATGGTATTTTATTAAATGACAACACTTTTAGGAGACATAGCTAGTTAAATAATATGAAGAAAGTTTATGTTAGAAATCAATGTTCTTTATTTATGACAGTGCTGCTTCAAGCAATGAAAAATAGTACATTTGTTTTTACATTAAAATTTAACTTGAATAGAAGACATGATTAGCTCCTCCTGGTGAGTTGTCAGCAGCCATGAGAAACTACTCCAGGTCTTCTTGTACAATGATAATTCTTTCTCTGCTATGTACCAAGAAACAAAATCTTTTTAGATGTATTGATACCAACTTTCAATAGATTCTGTTTCAAACAATATTTCATGTTTTATTTTCCATTAAATTAATTTTCTTGCAGTAACAATACTTTTAATATTGAATTCTGTGATGAATTGCCCACAAACAATATTGTAGATACTGTTCTGAAAGCTTGTTAAAGATCAATTACAAACAAATTGAAGAAAATTGAAGTAATTCATTGTTCCCTGTAAAAATGGAAATTTGATCAAAGCCATGATTGAAGAGGCAAACTTAATTTAAATACTTTATAATAAGATATATATAACTATATATAATTATATATGTTTTTACAGAAATAATACCAGTTTCACCACTGAAATACATTTATGCACTTTATTCCCTATATATGTTATATTATAATAATAAAAAGAAATCATTAAAAAAACAATCTTTGTCAGTTTTTGTTATAATTTTTAAGAAAATTATTCTTAGCAAGATTGGTCAAATAATTATGTTGTTTTCGTGCCAAATAGTATTCATCTTATGGCGTTTGGTAGTTTCCCAGTGTACCTAGGTGGGGGAAAAAGAAATTACGAATCTTATTGTAAACTCAGATAGCCATTACTCAATCACAATGAATAATGATTATAAACATGGAACATAGGGCACTTTGTAATTTCTGTATTGTACAGTAGGTAATTTATCAGTCAGTGATTGGAACATTTATTTTAGTGGCTTCATATTTTCATTCAGAGTTAGGAAATATTGTATAATACTTGATTGATGATTTAAGAGAGAGACAATATGAAGAAATATTTGGAAATTTTCATCTAATACAATACACAAACTGTAGAGGAAAACTACTATTTTTGAAACATTAACATCACAGCATATTGTTATATCAGTAAAAATTACAAACACTCAAATATTTTCTCTGAGACGTGTAATTTTGTGTGCCTTGAATTGCTCTCAAATGATGCTGTATTGTATAACGAATAAGAAGATTGTTCGTAAAGACTTAATTAAGAAGAAAGAAGAAGCCATAAACCCTAAAGCTACTTACAATACCAACAACAAAACAAATATTCACATACATGCTCATTATATTTTCTTTTTGACCGGCATTTTTTTTGTGCTGTTCTTTGTATAATATGTTTTTGATAAGGTCTTATATAAATGAATTTAATCACCTTGTAGAAGAAATCGATGTGTATCCAGTTACTGTCTTTGTCTCACATTGTCTCAAGGGAGATTATCCCATTCAGCGCATTCAGCGTGTGGTACGAGATGTGAGATATTTTTATTCTTTTATGTCATTGATATGATAAGATTAAAAACTTGCTTCTTTTTCTATCGCATGTATTATTCAAGTAATTTCTATTTTTCTATAGTATAGAAATGATTGGTTTCTTTAGAACTGTTGTCAGCAGGACCTCCCTATTTTAGCTTCAAGAAAAGTTGTTTTGTTTCCATAGAAAACATTTTTTATAGTTTTTATATTATTTTATTATTTCAGTGGCTAATCCACCTGAAAAGTCCAAAGATGACAGTAATCTTACATCACGTAATGGACAATTAGCTCGTAAGTATTATTCTTATTAATTTTACCCAGAAAACTCTTAATTTTTTTTTACTGTCTCAAAACCATCTTTAGTTAACACAATGACGCCATATCAAAATAAGATTGATGGTTTCTTTCTCCCTCTATATACATTTTACAGACAAATTAGACAGAAATCATTTTTCAACACATTTCAACATGGTTTTGTCTTTGGAGACCTCTACTGACTTCTGTGGCTGTAATAACTTTTGTATCTGCAACTCTAACTCACTTATATGACGACATAGGTCTGGTGAACGATGTATTTGCAACTGAAGCAGTTAATTTATTATGAGGGCATAAGTCTGGTGAACGATGTATTTGCTACTGAAGCAGTTATATGAGGGCATAAATCTGGTGAATGATCTATTTGCTACAGAAGCACTTATATGAGGGTGAACGATGTATTTACTACTAAAGCAGTTATATGAGGGCATAAGTCTGGTGAATGATGTATTTGCAACTGAAGCAGTTATATGAGGGCATAAGTCTGGTGAATGATGTATTTACTACTGAAGCAGTTATATGAGGGCATAAGTCTGGTGAACTATGTATTTGCTACTGAAGCAGTTATATGAGGGCATAAGTCTGGTGAACCATGTATTTACTACTGAAGCAGTTATATGAGGGCATAAGTCTGGTGAATGATGTATTTACTACTGAAGCAGTTATATGAGGGCATAAGTCTGGTGAACGATGTATTTACTACTGAAGCAGTTATATGGGGGCATAAGTCTGGTGTGAACAATGTATTTACTACTGAAGCAGTTATATGAGGGCATAAGTCTGGTGAATGATGTATTTTTCTACTGAAGCAGGTACAGTATATGAGGGCATAAGTCTGGTGAACGATGTATTTACTACTGAAGCAGTTATATGAGGGCATAAGTCTGGTGAACAATGTATTTACTACTGAAGCAGTTATATGAGGGCATAAGTCTGGTGAACGATGTATTTACTACTGAAGTAGTTATATGAGGGCATAAGTCTTGTGAACGATGTATTTACTACTGAAGCACTTATATGAGGGTGAACAATGTATTTACTACTGAAGGAGTTATGTGAGAGCATAAGTCTGGTGAATGATGTATTTACTACTGAAGCAGTTATATTTGGGCATAAGTCTGGTGAACTATGTATTTGCTACTGAAGCAGTTATATGAGGGCATAAGTCTGATGAATGATGTGTTTACTACTGAAGCAGGTACGGTATATGAGGGCATAAGTCTGGTGAACAATGTATTTACTACTGAAGCAGTTATATGAGGGCATAAGTCTGGTGAACGATGTATTTACTACTGAAGCAGTTATATGAGGGCATAAGTCTTGTGAACGATGTATTTGCTACTGAAGCAGTTATATGAGGGTATAAGTCTGGTGAATGATTTATTTACTACTGAAGCACTTATATGAGGGTGAACAATGTATTTACTACTGAAGCAGTTATGTGAGAGCATAAGTCTGATGAATGATGTGTTTACTACTTAGGCAGTTATATGAGGACATAGGCCTTGAAAGCAATGTATTTCCTACTGAAAAATTTATATGAGGTTATTCTTCCAGCATTATAGAGTATTTGCAACTCAAAATTATATTGAGATAATTTATAATAGTAAATATATTTGTATGTATTATGCTTATCAAAACAGGTAAGTTCAAAAATCTGACATCTCCATTAAGGGTTACATACTGTCTTTTTATGTGTTTCTGTTAATGGTATTAATATGGTGCTTTAACCATTATCCTTTCTATCCATGCATGCAACCAGTGCAGGATCAGCTTAAACATCCATGCTGTTTGATCATGGTCTACAGTGTTTGCTCTTCAACTCAGGACATATATTATAATCAGTTCAATAAAAACAAACACTTTTCTTAGCCTGAGTCTTCTTCATTCAATTCAGGACTTATTTTGAAAGTTTTCCCTAAAATGATAAATTTGTTTTGACCAGATTGAAAGATGTGCAAGTCATATTAGGATATTCAGAATTGTAATAATTTACGAGGAAAGTTGTAGTTTAGACTGGGTAATTCCTAGAATCATACGAACAATTGGTCTTCAAAAATATGAATAATGCTTATTTGAAATTGTTTTGACTCTAACAAGACAAGTAAGCTGGGGATTTACTCATAATGCTATTTGTCATGTGGAAGTTATTTCTACTGTCAAATTTTAAAGAATCAGGGTCTATTCCACACCATTAAACTTTGCCATGTGTGATTTTACAGTTAACTGTTACTTTTGAATTGTAATATATAGAGGATATTGAATGAGTGTAAGTTTAATACTGAATTTATTGAACAAGTTGAATAAAATTATATTATGCGAGCCTCTGGTGAGCATAATATTATTTTATTGAACAAGTTCAATAAATTTAGTATTTTAACTTAAATGAATTTAATATTTTTTTATCACATAACAAAAAATTACTGCTTGAAGTAAAAAAGAACTATTTTTCATTGACGCGCCTATAATATAACAAAAACATTAAGCACGTCTTGACACTACTATGGCACGGGTATGTGATAAATATCTTTATTTCCCAGTATGTTTTATTTGTTTTTGGACATTCAAAAAAATAAATTTTGAAAATAGTTCATGTATGTAAATGTTTAGAAATTGAATAAATATGTACATGATTTCTAAACTTTTCTTTATATTATACTCTATAAACTAAGGCAATTGTCAAATAATTTTGATACATATTATGTTTCCCTTTATATTGGTTAATTTGATTTCTTTGTTCAGGATTTAAGACACAAAGTTAAGTATTAAATAGTTTAAATATATATGAGAAAATAAAACTTCATCTTTTCACCATTTGTCTGCTAAAATTGATGCAAAGTGTTAATTTGAAAATAAATGAAGGACATTAATTTTTCATTTATCCTATAATGTATCAAAATTGTATACAACCAGCAACTGTGAATTTGGTCAACTTCATTTATTGTATGTTACTTGAAATAACTAGTAAATCACAAGTAGCAGAAAAATAGTTATATGTGAAGCATTAGTTGTTGTGTGAAATCCTGGGAGATAGAAATAGTTGGTTAGTTAAACATTGACTGCACCTGTCTACTTCCCAGACTATCAATTGTTTTCCTATCTAAATGATCACTTATGTCACTAAATAGCTGAATATTTGTCAGTTTATCTTATTATCAATTGATTGATTTGGTAAAGTCCCTGTTTTTCACATATTGTTAGGCACAGAAAAGTTTCATTTATAATATGGCCAGTTATTGAATATTACATAAAGGGGAAAATAAAAATGCAGACATTATAAATATTTCATAATTATCCTTGCATCCTTGCATTATTCCCCCCCCCCCCAGTCTTCCTGTGAACAACATAAACCAAGCTTAATTAGCATCATAATTAAACTTAAACCTTCATATTTAGAATGTATAATTTTGTTATGATGTAATAAGACTGTGACCCAGATATAACATTGATCTATAAGGATCAAATTTAGAAATGTCACCAGATAGAGACATTTGTGTTGTATAGACACATCTAGTTAAGATTGGTGTTAACTGGAATTCATCTTTTGAAGGAAATATGTTGTGTTACCAATGCTTTTCAATTGAAGTAAACATGGAAGTTAATGTTTGTTGATGCCATTGTATTTTAAAAAAATAATGTGAAGGTCAATTGATAGGTCCCTACTCAGACCTTTGATTTGAATGCCACAAAATTGACATGTGCTCTTTTGTTATCAAACATGTTGTTATGAAATTCTTATTGTATCCACTTATCTGATAATTATTATAAGACAGGTCAGGGATCTATGCATTATGACCTTTTGTTATGGTGTAAGTCAGTATGTGTAAGTCAATGTGGTCAGAAGTCAATGTTAAAGTTAATTGGAAAGTAAATGTGGTCCAATGTGAATGTTTAAATTAATGTGGTCCAATGTTAATGTGTAAGTCAATGTGGTCCAAAGTTAATGTGTAAGTCAATGTGGTCCAATGTTAATGTGTAAGTCAATGTGGTCCAATGTTTATGTGTAAGTCAATGTGGTCCAATGTTAATGTGTAAGTTAATGTGGTCCAATGTGAATGTGTAAGTCAATGTGGTCCAATGTTAATATTTAAGTTAATGTGGTTCAATGTTAATGCATAAGTCAATGTGGTCCAATGTTAATGTGTAAGTCAATGTGGTCCAATGTTAATGTATAGGTCAATGTGGTCCAATGTTAATGTGTAAGTCAATGTGGTCCAATGTTTATGTATAGGTCAATGCAGTCCAATGTTAAAGTATAAGGCAATGTTGTCCAATGTAAATGTATAAGGCAATGTGGTTTAATGTTAATGTATAAGTCAATGTGGTCCAATGTTTATGTATAAGTCAATGCAGTCCAATGTTAATGTATAAGTCAATGTGGTTCAATGTTAATGTATTAGTCAATGTGGTCCATTGTTAATGTATTAGTCAATGTGGTCCAATGTTAATGTATTAGTCAATGTGGTCCAATGTTAATGTATAAATCAATGTGGTCCAATGTTAATGTATAAGTCAATGCAGTCCAATGTTAATGTATAAGTCAATGCAGTCCAATGTTTATGTATAAGTCAATGTGGTCCAATGTTAATGAATAAGTCAATGTGGTCCAATGTTAATGTATAAGTCAATGTGGTTCAATGTTAATGTATAAGTCAATGTGGTCCAATGTTAATGTATTAGTCAATGTGGTCCAATGTTAATGTATAAGTCAATGCAGTCCAATGTTAATGTATAAGTCAATGCAGTCCTATGTTAATGTATAAGTCAATGTGGTCCAATGTTAATGTGTAAGTCAATGTGGTCCAATGTTAATGTATAGGTCAATGTGGTCCAATGTTAATGTATAAGTCAATGTGGTCCAATGTTAACGTATAAGTCAATGTGGTCCAATGTTAATGTATAAGTCAATGTGGTCCAATGTTAATGTATAAGTCAATGTGGTCCAATGTTAATGTATAAGTCAATGTGGTCCAATGTTAATGTATAAATCAATGTGGTCCAATGTTAATGTATAAGTCAATGCAGTCCAATGTTAATGTATAAGTCAATGCAGTCCAATGTTAATGAATAAGTCAATGTGGTCCAATGTTAATGAATAAGTCAATGTGGTCCAATGTTAATGTATAAGTCAATGTGGTCCAATGTTAATGTATAAGTCAATGTGGTCCAATGTTAATGTATAAGTCAATGTGGTCCAATGTTAATGTATAAGTCAATGTGGTCCAATATTAATGAATAAGTCAATGTGGTCCAATGTTAATGTGTATGCTAATGAGATCCAAAGTTAATGCTTGGTTAGAAGTCAACATGCTTCAAAGTTAATGATTTAGTCAAAATATTTATAAGTTCATTTGTTGCTTCACCATAATGTTTTTGTGGTCTTCAAAATAAAGGACTTTACTTTATTTATTCAGTCCACATCCAATACAATAAGGCTGTTTACTTTGATAACAACATCAACTGTGATAATAATTCTGTCTTTATCAGGGGAAAATGAAAGTAAAATCAGGTCCTTATTACTTTTGATGATAAATTGTGCAATCCAATCTTGAGAATTGGCTTGATTTGATAGACTGGTAAACTGTTGGTTGTATTGATCAGATCAAATGTATGTTGATGATGATGAAAGTTACAACTATTATCTCCTGCCAACAATAAACCAGTCCATATTTCACAGACATTTACTTAACTTGTTTCTCACCAGTCACTCTTTCATCTTGCCTTCTGACATTTATTTATCAAGATAGAATCTGCAGTGGTGCCACTGAAATCGCACAAATATCATAAATATCAAATCTGTGAAATCTGTGTTAATAGTTGATGAGGAAAATACAATATTATCAAATATTGATTAAACGATTAAACTGAACTTTCTTATGTTTTTTTTTTGTGCTACAGCACATTTGGTGAGATGACACTTCCAACCCAATTTTTTTTAAGCGCATCTCTAAATTGTGGAAATTATTTTATAACAACTGATAACCTGTTTATTTCAGATGAGAACTTTGAGCAAGGTAATTCTACTGGGACTATCACCTATTTTATTATTTGCACATGAGTTTTTATTCCATTTAAGCACTAGTAGTTGTGTTACTATAGAAAATTAACATTTTACTTACCCCTACCACTTAATAAAGCATTTTGGCACACATGGTATTTTTTGTTGTTTTCTTCCTTGAAACAATAAGGATCATTGCATATATTATTAGAAAATATGATTTGTGCATGTTTTATTTTGCATACTAAAATGTAACATAGATACAGTGTCTTGTTTGACCATTTTTAGACTGCTAATTATAGATTAGTTTGTTTATAGACAATTGGTTTCCTATCATTTCCAGGCAGCAGCAGATAAATATGATGGTATCTACATATGTCAATAAATTTCTAAAATCTGTGTCAATGTATCACAGGTCAAGGTCATGCCACAGAAACTTGTATGTTTCTAAAATCAAATAATTTCTTGTATGAGACTGAAATCGATATCTTGCGCTAAAAATTCGACAAATCTGAACTGTTGCTAGAAATAGTTAAAATATTTATAAACAAACTTAAAATAGTAGACTCTGTACATAATTAATTTTGCTTTTTAGTCAACATAGTTTTAGCCTACAGTATCATAATCAACACATGATGAACATGTAAATATTAATATTAAAAATCTTGGAGTAGCAAACTGTGGCTATGGTTCACGTAATCTGATGCTCTGTTTAATAAAAGTTGTTCTAAGCTGTATATAAGTCAAAAAGATTGAAGTCCTTGAGATATGTAATTTGATGTCTTAGTGAAATGTAATTTGACATATTAGATATATGTAATTTTATGTCTTAGAAATATGTAATTTTACACCTTAGAGATATGTAATTTTGCGTCTTAAAAATGTGTAATTTGATGTCTGAGATATATTTGACTTCTTAAAGATATGTTTTGTTTGGGTCATCATCATGCTTCTAGTAGGAGGCAAAGATATTGCCCATACAAAAAAATAACTCAATATCTTCACTCTTAGTACAATAATAGCGTACCTGTGTACATGTATATGTATTGTTAACTTTAATATGATGATTTATAAAGTTATTATCAGTTTTATTGTTCATACTGCTTGGGTGATACATGTATACCCAGCACATCAAATATAAATCTATTTTTGATTTTTAATATGGTTTTATTCAAATATTCATACAACATTATATGAAACATTAATGATATTGATGAAATTACCATCAATAAACCTATCCATGGTTAATCAAAGTTCATTCCGTTTCAGCTCTACTGAACAAAAATGATTATTTTGCTATGAGATTAGGTGAAAGATGTTTTCTGTAACACTATGAGAGTTTCTGGAATCACTTGCCATACTTTCCAAATTAAATAGAGAGAATCACAGTATATACATGTACAGTTAAATAGTGTTATAAGACATTTGTATTTCTATAACTGGTAAATTTGATAATTAGTATCTTGGACTGTTAAGATTAGTTACACAATTGAATTGTGATGAAATTTATGATATTATTTTTTTTTCATACAAGCCCATTATTTGTATCAGTCTAATAATTTTGAAGCATGTGGTAATTCCTTTCAGTAAATATCTTACCTTTTGATAGCTTGCACAATAAATTTTCTTATCTATGGACAGCAAGCACAGTGCATTTTATATACAGTGTATTTGGAAAGCAAGCACAATGTATTCATATCTTTTGCAAGCAAGCACTGTATATTTCCCTTATTTAGGAAGCTTAAGCACTGTACATTTCCTAGTTAAGTTAATTTCCTACCTAGAGGAATCAAGCACTATACATGTTTTATCTTTGGGAAGCTAACACAATACATTTATAATTTTTAGGAAGACAGCTCCCTTTCTTTTGGATTAGTTAACACAATACATTTCCTACCATTGGTGAGCTAGCACAGTACAATTCCTCTCTTTGGGTAGTTATCACATAATATTTTCTATCTCGTGTAGGTTACTCAGTTCATTTCCTTCCTTTGGGAAGCTAAGCAGAGTAGATTTCTATCTTAAGGAAGCTAACACAGTACATTTCCTACTTTTGGGAAACTAGTAGAGTAAATATCTATCTTTAGGAAGCTTACATGGGATATTTTCTACCTCAAGAAAGCAAGATTAGTACATTCCCTATCTTTCTGAAGTCAGCACAGTGCATTTTCTATCTTTGGAAAGCTAGTAAATTACATTTTCTATCTTTGTAAGCTAGCATATTGGGTAGATAACACAATATGTCCTATCTTGAGAAGCTAGCACCATACTCCTATCTTGAGAAGCTAGCACCATACTCCTATCTTGGGAAGCTAGCACCATACTCCTATCTTGAGAAGCTAGCACCATACTCCTATCTTGAGAAGCTAGCACCATACTCCTATCTTGAGAAGCTAGCACCATACTCCTATCTTGAGAAGCTAGCACCATCCTCCTATCTTGAGAAGCTAGCACCATACTCCTATCTTGGGTAGCTAGCACCATACTCCTATCTTGAGAAGCTAGCACCATACTCCTATCTTGGGAAGCTAGCAACATACTCCTAATCTTGGGAAGCTAGCACCATACTCCTATCTTGGGAAGCTAGCACCATACTCCTGTCTTGGGAAGCTAGCACCATACTCCTACCTTGGGAAGCTAGCACCATACTCCTATCTTGGGAAGCTAGCACCATACATTTTCTGCATTGAGAAGCTAGCAGAGTGCATGTTTTATCTTTGGAAAGAGTGCATAGTGCCTTTCTTATCTTTTGTTAGGAAACATTGCCATCTGATAGACAGTAAAGTTCAAACCTATGAAAGATAGGTCAATTCATTTCATATTCTATAAATAACCACCCCTTTAAATCTGGTGAATCTAGAAGAACTTCCATAGTTTATACAGCAAAACTAAGCTTTGCTTTGTAAGAAAGAAAATATTTATAGATTACATAATTAGAAAATAATTGATGTTTGTATAAGGTATACAGATGTTACAGGATAAAGTTAAGTCTGCATTTTGTTTTGCAATCTGTTTGTAATTTATACTTTCTGCAGCATTACTTCCTTCTGTGTCGCTTAATACGAAATAAATTAGTATATTGTAGTGGCAAGTACAAACAAAATGCAGTTGCTCTACAGTAGACATAAAACAGCATTGTGAAAGTTTTCTATTCATTCCTAAAATAAATAAATGTCAACAGGTTAATACTCTTTTTATGAAAGATATTTCTGCTGAATGTTACAAAAAGAATAAATATCTAAGATTACATTTTCTGTTACATAGCAAGAGCTTGAAAAAGCTGTCTGTAGTTATAATGGCTTGAAATAAAAAATAAAGAAGTAAGTTACTTTTGCAAGCATAGGTGCTTTGTGTCCTTAACTTACAATGGCTTGTAATAAAGCAGTAAGTAACAGTGTCTTGTAATAAAGCAGTAAGTAACAATGGCTTGTAATAAAGCAGTAAGTAACAATGGCATGAATATAAAGCAGTAAGAAGCAATGGCTTGTAATAAAGCAATAAGTAGCAATGGCTTGTAATAATTGTAATAAAGCAGTAAGTAGCAATGGCTTGTAATAAAGCAGTAAGTAGCAATGGCTTGTAATAAAGCAGTAAGTTACAATGGCTTGTAATAAAGCAGTAAGTAACAGTGTATTGTAATAAAGCAGTTAGTAACAATGGCTTGTAATAAAGCAGTAAGTAGCAATGGCTTGTAAGAAAGCAGTTATTTACAATGGCTTGTAATAAAGCAGTAAGTAACAATGGCTTGTAATAAAGCAGTAGGTAACAATGGCTTGTAATAAAGCAGTAAGTTACAATGACTTGTAATAATGCAGTAAGTAACAATGGCTTGTAATAAAGCAGTTATTTACAATGGCTTGTAATAAAGCAGTAAGTAACAATGGCTTGTAATAAAGCAGTAAGTAACAATGGCTTGTAATAAAGCAGTAAGTTACAATGGCTTGTAATAAAGCAGTAAGTTACAATGGCTTGTTAATAAAGCAGTAAGTTACAATGACTTGTAATAAAGCAGTAAGTGACAATGGCATGTAATAAAGCAGTAAGTTACAAAGACCTGTAATAAAGCAGTAAGTTACAATGGCTGGTAATTAAACAGTAAATTACATGGCTTGTAATAAAGCAGTGAGTTACAATGACTTATAAAAAAGCAGTGAGTAATACAAGGTCTTGTTATAAAGCAGTGCATTACAATGTCTTGTAATAAAGCAGTGAGTTACAATGGCTACAAGAGATTGAAGTAAGATGACTTGAAATAAAGCATTTTGTTTTATAGAGACTGATTAGCTTGAAATTAGGCAGTGACTTACAGCAATTACCAGATTGTCTCTAAATTAAACATTAAGTTATAGAGGCTGCATTGCCATTATTAAACAAGGATTTATGAGGGAATTTGCAATGTCATCAAGTAATCATGAAGTTAACAAGCAGACAGTATATGTTGCACTATGTGAAATGTGCAATTATAAAATCTGAAAATACAGTCTGCCTGATTGTTTAGCTGGGGATAATTTCCGTGTTAAAGTACTATTATAGATTTACTTGGTGAAAAAACAGGAAGTTTATAGCATGTAATGAAGCGTTATTAACTAGAAATGACATGCAATATAATGATTTTGCTTAGTTATCATTATACTTAACAAGATATTAGATTTTGGAACAAAAAGAGTTTGAAATGACCACCAAAATCAATCATAGACAAGTAATGTATGAGATATCTGACTTCCCCATTATCTGTGACTCCCACTTCATCTGTGCATGAAAAATAAAACAATGCTGCTGCATTGAATAAATTGTTACACTCTTAACCATTTTTTCTTGTATTTAAGTTATCTATCTTAATTTTTATGCCCCCACAATGTGGGAGCATATAGCGTTGCACTTGTCCGTCCGTCCGTCTGTCCGTCAGTCCGTCCGTCAGTCCATCCGTACGTCCCGAAATCTTGTGAACGCAACTCCTCTTAAACCGGATGGCAGATTTTGCTTAAACTTACAGGGATGAACAACCTTAATGTGTAG